AGGAATAGTGCCCCATCATTGGTGTCAGTGGGAGGAGTAGTGCCCCATCATTGGTGTCAGTGGGGGGAGTAGTGCCCCATCATTGGTGTCAGTGGGGGGAGTAGTGCTCCATCACTGGTGTCAGTGGGGGGAGTAGTGCCCCATCACTGGTGTCAGTGGGAGGAGTAGTGCTCCATCACTGGTGTCAGTGGGAGGAATAGTGCCACATCATTGGTGTCAGTGGGAGGAATAGTGCCCCATCATTGGTGTCAGTGGGAGGAGTAGTGCCCCATCATTGGTGTCAGTGGGGGGAGTAGTGCTCCATCACTGGTGTCAGTGGGGGAGTAGTGCCCCATCACTGGTGTCAGTGGGAGGAGTAGTGCTCCATCACTGGTGTCAGTGGGAGGAATAGTGCCACATCATTGGTGTCAGTGGGAGGAATAGTGCCCCATCATTGGTGTCAGTGGGGGGAGTAGTGCCCCATCATTGGTGTCAGTGGGGGGAGTAGTGCCCCATCATTGGTGTCAGTGGGAGGAATAGTGCCCCATCACTGGTGTCAGTGGGGGGAGTAGTGCCCCATCACTGGTGTCAGTGGGAGTAGTGCCCCATCACTGGTGTCAGTGGGAGGAATAGTGCCACATCATTGGTGTCAGTGGGAGGAATAGTGCCCCATCATTGGTGTCAGTGGGAGGAATAGTGCCCCATCATTGATGTCAGTGTGGTGGAGGGGAGAATAGTGCCCCATCATTGGGGTCAGGGGGGGGGGAAATAGTGCCCCATCGTTGGTGTCAGTGGGGGGAGGAATAGTGCCCCATCGTTGGTGTCAGTGGGGGGAGGAATAGTGCCCCATCGTTGGTGTCAGTGGGGGGAAGAATAGTGCCCCATCGTTGGTGTCAGTGGGGGGAGGAATACTGCCCCATCGTTGGTGTCAGTGGGGGGAGGAATAGTGCCCCATCGTTGGTGTCAGTGGGGGGAGGAATAGTGCCCCATCGTTGGTGTCAGTGGGGGGAGGAATAGTGCCACATCGTTGGTGTCAGTGGGGGGAGGAATAGTGCCCCATCGTTGGTGTCAGTGGGGGGAGGAATAGTGCCCCATCGTTGGTGTCAGTTGGGGGAGGAATAGTGCCCATTGTTGGTGTCAGTGGGGGGAGGAATAGTGCCCCATCGTTGGTGTCAGTGGGGGGAGGAATAGTGCCCCATCGTTGGTGTCAGTGGGTGGAGGAATAGTGCCCCATCGTTGGTATTAGTGACACAAATGATGGGGCACTATTCCTCCCACTGACACCAATGATACTTACTTTGCTGACCCCTGCTCCAGCCTGGGCTCGCTCTCTCACTTTCCTGTCAGCTGTCTTCCTTCTCTGGCCGCTCTCCTCTTCACTCGCTCCGGCAGCTCCCTCGGTCTTCTTTGATGTACGCGCGCTGTCGCTCGGCTCCTCCTCTCCAAGCTCCACCTCCTCGCCGGTGATTGGCCTCTCCTGAGCTACAGTTCCGGTGGCCAATCAGCGGCGAGGAGGCGGAGCTGCTGAGCGATCCCGGAGGTGTGGCCAGGTGACAGGAGCAGCGTATCATCCCGCCCACACATCGCCGGAGACAGCAGCGGTGTCTCGGTTCCTAAGACCATCGGAAATATGTGTTTTCCGATGGTCTTAGGCGACCCCTGGGAAATGGTCGTTCGACCCCCAAAGGGGTCGCGACCCCCAGGTTGAGAACCGCTGATCTAAGAGGAAGGGGCTGGTGGTACAAAAGGTAATAATTGAGGGGGATGGACTGGAAGAAGGAATAGAAGATTCCATTAATAGCTGAATGCAGGATAGGCTCCCGTGATCATTTATCTGAGTATGTATGGCCACCATAAAGGCCAATTCACACCATTTGCATTGGGCAGCAATGCGCAGCCTTTCCCAGCACAGACCCAATGTAAAGACAAGGAACTTTGCTTTGACTACTATGAAGTCAGTTCATATGCATGTAGTACTTTTTTCAGCTTGGCGTGTTGTGACACAAACCACAGCATTGCAATGTTGCTGCAGTCAACAAACCTGAATGAAATGTCACTTGTCACTTCTATGCTCGCAAACGCCAAAGAAAAAAGAAAATTTTTAAAATTATTACATGTTTCCTGTCTGTCAGGAGGAAAGCCCTAATGCATAAATTCCAGCATTGTATACAAATAGGAAAATCAGCCTTAGGCTTTTAAAAAGGCAACAGCTGGACCAGGCTGTCACATTACATAGTAGCCATCATCCTGTGATCATATTACTGTCAAAATAGTTCACATCTACGAATGTGATCATGTCACCAGCCCACATCGCTCAACCATGGCAGGAGGAAATAAACACAAAAGATACCTTGTAGAGATTCAGACACCTATTTAGGATTCTTAAAGAATTAGCACCAGTTTGCTGTTTGTGAAATTGGCAGTAATTAATAGCAGCTCTGAGCTGGTGTACAGAGATACTACAGTCAGGGCTGTGGATAAGGGGGTAGCGCCAATCCTGCTGTATGGGGCCCGGGCCAGCAGGGGGGCCCAGGCAGCTGGGTGAATCAGATGTGGGCAGGGAAGGTGATCGGCACAGTGCCGTGGTGGTGGGGGGGGAGCAATTACTGAAATAGATCTCCCATATGGCTCTCTCTTCAGCAGCTGAAAGCTGGCTTCTTCTCTCTTGCTGGCTTTAAGCTGCTGCAGAGAGAGCCATACAGGGGATCAGTTCCAGTAATTGCCCCCCTGCCACAACCATCACCTTTTCTGTGCACCATACGTTTCCCCCTGCTGCCCAGGTCTCCCTGCGTGTACCCACCACCACGGTGCTGCTGGCTTCCCTCCTCTGCTTCCCATGGCAGCTGCAAGCACACAATAGGATCCTACAGGATGGAGAGTGGGGAAAGGGTCCTGTAAATATGTCACATTTACCAATACCTTTCTGAATGAACACAATGAGTGATCGGTACCGAGCACTCACTGTGTTCATCCATAACTGAAGCTTAGTAAATTGTGTTCGTTTTTTTGTTTCTTTTTTGGGGGGGCAGTCAGGTTGGCTGTATGGGGCCCCATGTTTTCTATCAGCAGCCTAGACTACAATACTCAGACTGGGGCAAGTCAATGATGGGAAGCTGTTACAGTATTACAGCTTCACACACAATAGTGTATCTCAAGACCCATTTAGCTGCAGGTCAGTTGATTCCCCAGGCCCCAATGTAAACATTGGGATTGGGAAATGATTTGTCACTGGGTAGGTGGAGACTGAGGGGGAACTAAGAGACTACTTTCCCATCCGGGCTGTTACTTTTGATTGAGAACGTGCAGGAGTAGGCAGATTTAAATAGTGGCTATCAATCTTCTACCGCTGTGTGTGCTGTCAACCAAAAGTAAGGCAAATCTGATAAGGAACTAGTTTCTCAGTTCCCCATCAGGCTCAGCCCACCCCTGGTACAAAAGTCTTCAGCATCATGCTTGTCAGTGAGAAGGGTGCATTGGCTGGGGAGGGAGTGCACTGAGGAAGAGCTGTCCAGTATGGACCTCAGTGCAGGCACTGACAAATTTATTTAACATCACTTTCAGTGCTATGCCACAACAAAATTCTATAGGGTCTCTACTACACCCATTAAAAAATGCCCCCGCAGTCTTTTCACCTAAGATTTTTTCAGTTTACATATAGGGGTTGGTTTACTAAAACCTTAAAATGAAAACTTTGGTGCAACTCTGCATAGAAACCAATCACCTTCCAGTTTTTTTTTTTTTTGGTGAAAGCTTAAAGTGATTCTAAAGACTTATTTTTTTAAAGAAAATATAACAAACATACCTATACTTACCTGCTTTGTGCAGTGGTTTTTCACAGAGTAGCCTGGATCCTCCTCTTCTGGGGTCCCCTACAGGCTCTCCAGGCCCCTCCCTGCTGTCGGGTGTCTCCACTGCAAGCAGTTTGCTATGGGGGCATCCTCTGCTTCGAGTATCCATTCATACATGGAGCTGCGGCTTGGCCCCCTCTCTCTTCTCATTGTCTCGCTGGCTGTGATTGATCCCGCTTCTGTCTCAGCCAATGAGAAAAGGGAGTTCCAGGATAGCCGAGCGTCCAGTGCACATCGCTGGATGGAGAAGGGGCTTAGGTGAGTATTAGGGGGACCTGGGGGGGATTCTGCAAAGAGAATTCATGAAGGTAAAAAACATTGAACATTTAGAACCACTTTAACTGAATGAGCTGAAGTTAGAAGCTGACTGACTACCATGCACAGCTGTACCAGATTTTGCACTCACCAGTTTTAGTAAATCAACCCCCATTGGGAAATTAAGTCACAATGTGTATCACTACTCTCTGCAGGTGTCAGTGAAAATAGACAGCTTTATGTGCATTGGCCTCTCCTAAAGCAGAATTTGCAGAATGTGGGGCACAGTCCTGAGCACAAATGATATATTGGGTGACATTACTTGAATATGATAGAGTTACGCAAAAGTCAAGCCTTCCCCCTTCCAGATAAGCTCCATCTGCCTTCCTTACCATGTTGCTGCTCTTTTGTTGCATACATCTGGTAACAGTATATGAACTGGAGCTTTTGCAGTCCCAAGGTATGTTTTTGGATCTTGGGAGGTAACAAGGACACTTGGAGGAAACTTGAACAAATTTGGAAGGATTTATGTATGGAGCAAAGGAAAGAGAAAAAAAACATGGCCCCAGGACTGTAGTCATTAGTGTTAAGTCAACCAAGTGTGGGGTGAAGAGATTGGATAAAAAAGCTGAAAGTGCAGTAAATGTTTGTTGATACAGTGTAAATGTTGTTAAAATTCATAGTGCTGTATATACAGCTACTGTGAGTAGAAAATGTTGAAAAGCATGTGCTTTTGCTTTAATCAACCTAACTGAAAACAGTCCCTTCAAGATGTAATATTTTATGAAACTTTCATAAAGGTCATTTTTACTGGGTCCCACTGAAGGTATCCAATTTTCTCGTTGTTGCTGATGAGAAGACATGAAAAAGTAATAACAGCCATAATTTAAACCGTGTGCTATTAATCTTGTTTCTCAGACTCCAGGACTTGTGCAATGGCAAACTGCCAGTATGGCTGTGAAGAAGTCAAAGGGGAGGTACGATGTTCATGCCCATCCAGTGGACTGCAGCTGGGACCAGATGGAAGGAATTGTATAGGTGAGTTTAGATATGACTTTCAGATTTTAGCTCACCGCAGAATTGAACCATTTATGCCAAATGACCATAAAATCTGAAAAAGGCGTGTATTGCATAGCTCATTTATAAGCAGCATAATCAAACATTGTTGTGTAACTGTTTTTGTTCTCACTATTACAAACTAAAATACTTCAACATTTAAAGCCTCCAGTTTTGCATTTACTCTTTTTATTTTGATCTGAACCTGTAGCTAGCCTTCTGATTCTTATGGTGGCAATACATGTAGCGATTTGTGTTCCATTTAGATACAAGTGTTTGCAAACAAGTGATTCATCATTGATTTAGGAGGTTCTAAAGGATTAAGTTGTTTTACCTTCATGCATTCTATGCATAAAGGTAAAAAACATTTTATGTGCAGCGGCCCACCCAGCCCCCCCTAATACTCACCTAAGCCCCCTCTCGATCCAGTGATGTGCAATGGAGTCTCGGCTATCCCGGGACTCCCTCTTCTCATTGGCTGAGACAGCACCGGGAGCCATTGGCTGCCACTGCTGTCAATCACAGCCAGTGAGCCAATGAGAAGAGAGAGGGGGTGGGGCCAGCAGTGGCCCCATGTGTGAATGGACACACAGAACAGCGGGTGCCCCCATAGCAAGCTGCTTGCTGTCGGGGCACCCGACAGGAGGGAGGGGCCTGGAGTACCAGCGGGGGGACCTGAGAAGAGGAGGATCCGGGCTGCATGTCACATTTATTTGTTTGCACATATATAGGATATCATGGTTTGAGTATTTTAACTGCTTCACATTTTTGTAAATATCAGTTTAAAGTTAATTTACAATCAGTGTATTGTGGTCACTATTCACAGTTATTTATTTTTATGACAAGGAAGTGAACCTTTGTGTATATAGGTATTGCTTTAAGGTTGTGTATTCTAACTGTCAGTGTGCAGCATCCAGGGGTTCACTCAGCGCAAAAATACTTTATTGGTTAAGCAGAAGCTATCAACAAAATTCTGCCATGGCCAGTCAGGTTGGCAAAGTTGTATATGCCCAAGTGCTCACTAAATTGACCAAATTGAGTTTCTTTGGTTTGCAGTTCTTATTCAGTTTGATCAATTTAGTCCCATTGAATGATCAGTTGAATGATTGTACATTTGTGACCCCATTAAGGCATATTTCACTTCACTCTGATCCATTTGAAAAGTTCCATTTGAAAACCTTTGGAAATCCTCCAGAGTTCATTGACAGGTGTATTTTACCTGCAGTTGACAACCTTCTGACCACATTCGAATTCCTTCTGATCTACATTATGCTACTTTTGTGCTGCCATTGATTTATATAGAGGAAGAATCATTCCGTTGCAAACAAAAGCCCATGGACACAGACCATGAGTGTAGTTGACTGGAATCCTAAGTATGTACTACTGTATTTTGGGAGGTAAGCTGCAAAAACACCACCATTAGGGCCATCTTTAACAATCAATGTGGTGGCAGTGATTTATAACAGCTATGGCATTGCTCTAATCAGCATTTATGATGCTAGGAAAAAATTAATTGGAGTCAAAGAAAGGTCAGTGTCACAAGAATTCCAGCAATTTGCTGTTTAGTCCCTGAGTTTATATCAATAGGTTTAGTACAATAGAAAACAGGAGATTAGTGATATTTCCTTTAAATATATAGCATACTAAATGGAAGATTGTACGTTCTGTATCACAGCCAAAATTAACAGAATTATTATATTTTTTGTTGTAGATATTGACGAATGTGCAGCTGGAAAAGTAACTTGTCCTTTTAACAGAAGATGTGTAAATACTTTTGGAAGCTATTTTTGCAAGTGCCAGAATGGTTATGAATTAAAGTATGTGAATGGCAGATATGACTGTGTAGGTAAGAATACTAAAAAAAACGGCAGTTAATGGCATAGTTAAAGTAGAATTATTTTCTAATGTTGGATTATGGGAAAAGGTTAGAAATTCTGCTGGTCACCAGAACAGTACTAAGTAAATTTATAGTGAAACAGTGAACATGTTTTATTGGTGTCTGTGCCTTTCTTGGAGATCATGGGTGGCAGGTCAAAAAATAGGGGAACACATATAGCAATAAAACCTCAGGTACTATTACCCTTTCCCTCTCCCAAAAGAAAAGTTTAGATCTGGAATTGGACTTTTAGCCTGGGTTCACATATATGCAGTACAGTATATTGCATGTGATTCACACAGGAACCGCACTGCATTCCTGTGCAAATCACATGCAATTTGTGTGCGGTGTGATTGGAGCCATACATTATGTATGTCTCCAATCGCACCATATTCCGCACCAAAAAGGTGCAGGACCCTTTTTTTGGTCCGCACTAGAATCGGATCGCATGGGTATTCACACCCATGTGATCCGATTCTGCACATCACACTGCGTTTTGTGGACTGATTTTGGGGTGTTGTCAACTTAACATACACACCCGCAGTGGTTTGCATGAAAGGGGTGCTATTCAGATGTGGCGCAGAGTTCGTACAGAAAACGCTGAGAATTCCGCACCGCATCAGTGTGAACCCAGGCTTAAGGCCCTATACTATAAAATACTTGATCTCCTATAATTCCCTTAGCTATATGACATGTTTTCTGGCTAATCAATGTTTATTATATGGCTAATCAACAAAGTGATCTGTCTGTCTTGTGTTGAACTGTATTTTGTTATGATATTTAAGATCTATATGAATACATTATTACTGAAATTAGAGCTCAATTTCAAGTCCTAAGCTACTAGCCAGGCCTTAAGAGTTACTCATCACCAGTTGCCCCACCCAACCCCTACCCTGCCCCACCCCTAATCCCACCCCAAAACACATCCTCATCTGCCTGTCAGTTTTTCAGGCGGACCCTCCATTCACCTCTATGGAGCGGTGGATGTAAACTAACTTGTGTCAGTTTACACCCATCTACATCCAATCCAGTCCGCTAAAAAAATGGAAGGGGATCTGTACTCCTCTGTCTAGGTGGATCATATCAGAGGGCAGTTGGGTGTGAATGGACAGTGGTATTTGTTTTACACCCACCTGCTCATAGAGCAGAGTGGGTTCTGTCCTTGTCCTCATTGCATAAACTGAGCGGACATGGACCTGTCATCTGTGCATTTTCCTGTGATCAGAAAGGAATCAGCAGACAGGTCCCCTGCTGAGCAAGGTGGGGGTCCATCCTAAGTGATAGGGGCCTAAGGCAGGCCATATATGATGCGATTTTGTTTCCTGCAAACATGAGCTGAAGGAAAGAAAATCGCTTGATTCACCCATCAACACAGTCAATGTTGATGGGGGAATCCCTCCTGCGGACCTATTGTGTTCTCCCAGTAGGAAATGATTACAACTAGCAGCTATATTAGTCACTGGCTATAATCACATGTAAAATCCGACATGCTGGTTGAATCCAAGTTATGCAACAATTGACTTGGGTACAATCAGCCTGCCCATAGATGATTCGAATCTCGGCCATTCCTTGTTGAACCAGCCAAGATTCGAATCATCTATGGCTGTCTTGCATTTCACTGTTCTTCCTTCAATGATCATCATCATTATCATCATGATAATCACACAGTACAGGCGCTGGGGTTCAAAGTATCTATACTATGTAAGTGTGTGACTATCATTATGATGATCACATTTGGCTGCTCCCTGCTTTAGAATTGGAAATAGGCACAGGTAAGGGAAAGGTATGTGTTGTCATGTCATGAGACTGTACCTGTCCGGTGACTTCTGCCAGAGTCTCAGAGCTGAGGATCACTCTGTCTGCACTGCTGGGCTGGCTGTTGAGTGGATCTGTACACTGATTGCTTCCAGTTTCAGCCAGCTACCCCAGCCTGCCAGTGCTCTTTTACTGCCTGACTTACATGTTGAAGGAGTTAGGCAGTGTGAAAAGCAAGCCGAATCACTCCCAGGCCAGCAGCAAGGACTTACTGTATCCTAGCACAGGATAGTGTGTGTGTAAATCCATGAGATCTACAGTATCCCGGCTGGCTGGCTCTCCCACAGTGACATGACAGATCCTACATTAATCTGAAGCTGCTGGCCGGGCACCCTGCTAGGTGATGGGACCCCCTTATCGGCAGCCTGTTTCCCTTCGCTGCGGTGCCTGGGACACACTTGACTCCACGTTATTTCCACTCACAAAATGCGAGCAGCCAAATGGAAATTTTGAGGCCTGCTGAAATATTAACTTCAGTTAAAATAAGCTTTATTGATATGGCACAGTGCTGATTTAACAAAAATCCTTCTGCCTGTACCACCAGACCCACCCACTGAAATTTTCTATGCAAATAGGTAATATAACATTATTTTAACTGTTTATCAATGCTGTGGTAATCATAACATGAGTTATCATTAAGCTTGGTTTCCACATTAGACCATAGACTTGCTTTGGCTACTCGTTTACAACGTGTCTAATGACTAAAACATAGCAATGCATCACAGTGATGGACAAAAATGAGATGCAAGTGATATAAGGAGGTCAGAGACAAACATATCTACAGCTATAATGCTGCTATCTTTAAAGGAGAAGCATGGACAAAGCTTTCTTGACCCTATTTCTTCCATGGATCACAGAAGTGCAGTTTGTTCTGCACTCCTGTGACCCGTTTTCGGCAGTCAGCGGGCTAAAGCCAGTGTCAGGCTCAGTAAAGATCCTGGCTTTACAGTTGGGATCCACCCAGATTCCTGAAATGGCGACTGGCTCAGCCTATCAGTGGGCTGCTGAGAGCTGGAGGCAGCCTCTCCAGCTCACGCCCATTCCACAGCCTAGAGCTCTAGTGATGCAGCGTTGTGACGTCAGGGAGGAGCCTACGTGCTGACATCACGCCGCTGGGTCCACGTGATGGTCCGGAGGCCATCTTTGGTTCACCATGGGCTGGAGATGGAGACTTGGCTACTGTACTTTTGATCATTTGGTGTATCACTGGCTTCTGGAGAATTCCCACCTTCAACCGGGTCTCCGGCAGGAGGAACAAGCAGGAATACCCCTTAGTGTCTTTCTGCTCTGGGCTTGTTTGCTATTTACTTCTGGTGAGTGCACTATGGTGGAGGTGCAGTGAGGAAGTCACAGAAGTCACTACATTTTGTTGATTTGATCACATTACTATTTTTGGGACTATTATGATATTTAGAGGACTTATATATTTTCATTTGTTATACCGTCCATTTTGTTTTCTTTATTGGAGTATGCACAATTCCCTATTTCTTTTTTATGATGTTTTCTTTCTTTTCTACAATCACATGGTCATCATTGATTATAACACACATTTTTGTTAGCGCTGCACATTGAAATTAGAGTGTTATTAATGATAACTGTAACAGTTGTTTGTGCTCCCGATTGAACTATGAAGCCATCAAATGGCTGGTGTCAAAGCTGATCATATGTGCAGCACCATGACAACTGCAGATCAAACAAAGGCTAAGATGGCAGTGTTGTTGGCTGTAAAGGTTAGGAAAGTTTAGTTCCTCTTTAAATTTAAGGCATATAGGTTGCTAATGTGCATGGGTCAGCTCTCAACGGAATAGCCAAGCCCTCAAATTGCTGGTGTCATAACTGGCCACACGTGGAGCACCATGTCAACTGCAAATCTAAACAGAGGGTAAGAAGGCACCTTCCTTGCCTGTAAAGAATAAGATTTATTTTCACTTAACAAGAAATATCCCTTTTTCAATCTTTCACAAGAAACCAGACAGAAACGTAAGAACAATAACAACTAAGGAAAAAAAACTGTAAATAGTTTTGAACATTTTTCAGACTATTCAGTTAATACAGAATGGAATTATGGAGCTCTATATAAGCTAAATGTAGTTATACAAACATTGTTCTTATTTATTTTGTACACTAGAATCCTGGTCGCTTTTATTTTTGGTCCTCATTCCCAGAAACATAGCTTTAGAGTTTGATTCTTAAACCCAAGAGCTTTGCACGCTATTGTTTTCTAAAGGTGCCATAGAGCTAAGTATGCTGCTCAGTCTAAACAGCTACAGTTGGGCTGGGAAAACTATGATATGTTTGTTAGCACTCCACAGCCTCTTCAGACTTACTTATTTACTGCCCAATTTATTTCATCGGAAGAATCGACTGGCTAGTTTAGATTTCCTAGCCAATCACTCCAGACGCAGGAATGCCAGGGTTGTCGTTTCAGTTTGTTCAGTGGACAGTTCTTTCTTCATGTCATGTCAATGGCCTTTCACTTGTTTCTTATTTCACAGATATAAATGAGTGTTTGATGAAGACTCATAAGTGCAGCCCTCACAGTGATTGCCTCAATACCCCAGGCTCCTATAAATGCCGATGTAAACAAGGATACAAGGGCAGTGGATACCAGTGTTCAGGTAGGTTCACTGATCAATGAATTTTGTATTTTACCATTATTATTATTATACAGGATTTATATAACGCCAACAGTTTGCGCAGTGCTTTACAAAATGAAGGTAGACATTACAGTTACAATACAATTTGGTACAAGAGGAATCAGAGAGCCCTGCTCATTAGAGCTTACAATCTAGGAGGAAAAGTTGAGTGATACAAAAGGTAATAACTGTGGGGGATGAGCTGATGGAGGAAATAAATGGTGGTTTACTAATTAGAAGCAGGATAGGCTTCTTTAAAGAGAAATGTTTTCAGGTCTCGTCTGAAGGTGGATAGATTAGGAGACAGCCAGACAGATTGGGATAGGGAGTTTCATAGGATGGGAGAAGCTCGGGAGAAGTCCTGGAGGCGAGCATGGGAAGAGGTGACACAGGAACTAGAGAGCAGAAGGTCTTGGGAGAATCGAAGAGAGAGGTTTGGTTGGTATTTTGAGACCAGGTTGGTGATGTAGCTGGGGGCAGAGTTGTGGATGGCTTTGCAAGTTGTTGTTAGTATTTTGAATTTTATTCATTGGGCGAGTGGAAGCCAGTGGAGGGATTGGCAGAGAGGGTAGCAGACACTGAATGCTTGGTAAGGTGGATGAGCCTGGCAGCAGTATTCATGATGGACTGGAGGGGGCATAGCCTATGTAAAGGTAAGCCAATGAGGAGGGAGTTGCAGTAGTCAAGGCGAGAGAAAACCAGGGAGAGAATTAGGAGTTTTGTGGTATCATTGGTTAAAAAGGGGCGTACCATGTACTGTACTTTCCTGATCAGAACATAGGACAGTATACGGAATCATTCTAAACCTTTGTTGGTACTCATAATCATCTATAGCTTATGTAAACATTACCATTTATTATTTGTATATTTGGAATTGAGTAGGGAATTTGGAACTGAGTAGTAACAGATTGACATTATAGACAGTGTAAATTGTATTTGCGAAGCCTGCTTTTCTGTACCACTAAACGTCCATGTGTTCAGAAAAAAGGTGAAGTAATTAAAGTGTATTACTGTTAAGTGTGTCTACTAAAAATTAATCAACCAGTGGGTCTTTCTTAAATTCTTTAAAATGTGACCTATTAGTATTCCTTGAGAAACAGAGTTTAGTAACATTGCTCTACATCACTTTTACAACTGACATACTGTACTGTAACCCACTTCATAAAGGGCAATATACTCTGCTTCTAAGCTTCTTTTCTGGCCAAATGTATTGCTCTTTAAAAGAGTTCATAGGATAAGTCCATATTTTAATCAAAAAGCTAGAATAATGTTTATGAACGATATCCTTGTACCTTTTAAAGTGAGTTGTGAAATTGGTCTGTTACAGTAAAGACAATTGAAATACACCTACAAGACTCTACTATTGAAAGATACAGTATATACAGTACTTTGCCCGTGAGTACAGATAGACGTTCCTTGCAGTTCCCCACATCTGTGCATACTTTTATCTTTTACCATTGAACTAGAGATGGAAAGTGAACAGAAGTATGAAGTCATCACTGTAGAATGCACTATACAATGGAATGAGTTTTACAAATATCCTTAAAGATAATAGTATGAGAGTAACCGGGTCAATTAAGCTTGCCTATTAAGGTGAACTATAGAATAGAATGAAATAAAAACATCTGAGGACACATGAACTAAGCTTGTCTATTAAGGTGAGCTGTAGATTCAGATTGACATAAAAAGATCTGAGGACTCACCAAGGAAACAGCAAACACATTCTAAAGCCTGGTTTGATGGTTGCTCTTCAAAGCCTATTGTCCTAGCTTATGACTGTTTATACATTCAAAGTTTTGTGGTCCTTGCATCACCTTGATTTTTGAAATCCAAAGCTGGGCAAACAAAAATGTTTGGGACGATACAAACAAAGGGATTGATTTACTAATACTAGAGAGTGCAAAATCTGGTGCAACTGTGCATGGTAGCCAATCAGCTTCTAACTTCAGCTTGTTCAATTAAGCTTTGACAAAATTACCTGGAAGCTGATTGGTTTCTGTGCAGAATTGCACCTGATTTTACTCTCTCTAGTTTTAGTAAATCACCTCCACAGTTTGTTCAGATTTGGTCTAGCTTGTGCATTGAGGCCATAAAACAAAATCACCACTAATCATGCTGATCTATCAGATTCAATTAAAAATACCAGGGTTATCCAACCATCACATATGATTGTATTTTAACTTAAGATTATTTAGACAAAATAAATAGACCCATAGTCTTAAAACAAGCCAAACTAATGTCACTTAAGGCTCATACAAGAAATATACAATTTAAATATCAGTTTCCAGAACAATAGCTAAACTTTTCCAGTTCTCCAAAATTCCAGGAGATTGATGTGAAACAGTGCAACATTCAATCACTGCATATGTAACTGAAGGATCTCTGCCAAGGTGACAGGAGTGATTTATGACTTCACTCAATAATTACCATAAGTAACTTTCAAGTGGTTTGTATGTTCTTATGTATGAAAAGTATGTAAACTTATAAAAACTAAAGAACAGAAAGTGAACAATCAGATTTCTTGTTTATTTTATTTTTTTTTTTTTTCATTTTTCCAGAGAAGATTTAACTAACAGGCACAACTCGATTCAAATTTGTTTTAATTGCCTTATAGTCCTATTATGGCCAGGACAAGGAAGGGGGGGGGGGGAGGAGGGCAGATGGGTCACATGCCCTGGGAGCAATGTTTTTTATGGGGGGGGGGCGCATTTTGTGCTCCATTCTCCAGCTCACCAATGGGAGTGATGGGCAATGTCATTACTTGGTCCGACCAAGAGCAGGGGCCTTGGTGGCAGCTGGAGGGAGGATTCTGCTCTCTCCTCTCTCTGATAACAGATTACAGGGGGCAGAATAAAGAAGGGCACACCTTGCTCATACTGATGCTCTGCCTCCCACACTCTTACACAGCCTGCTGAACTATAATATCCCCAGCCTGCTCCTTTCACTGGCCTGTCCCTTTTCACTGGAACAACATTCGAACCTGGCCAGGAGAGAAGACTACTGTCCCATCAGGTTATACCAAGAGATGGCAAGCCAGGTAAGCACTGTTTTCCAGTGGCAGGTAGCATGGTGTTAATGCTGCAGGGAGGCTGTCTAGGCTTAGGGTTCAACCAGCAAACATGGCTAATAGAGGTAGATTGTCTGAGAATGAGCTTGTGTAATTTAACGCACCGACAGAGCCGCCTCTTCCCCCTCAACCTGCCAGCTATAATAAATGAATCCTCCTCATACTGATACCATTGATGCAGTGGCATTCCAGTTACCAAATGTTTAATGTGTGCTATTTTTTAAGAAACAACTCCGGAATACTGAGCCCTAAACAGCTCTTGCCATATTAGATTGTTAGATAACAGTCTGGCAGCACAAAAACAAATACTGCTCAACTACAGTTTAATCCCTAATTTACTTTTATCTCTCCCATCTTCTGCATGTCATGAAGCTGATAATGGTAATCCTGGTGTGTTTTTAATGTGTTTGCCACATTCCAGATGCATTCCATACAGAAAAAATTCAACATGTTCTGCTTTTGTTGACTGCACTAGTGTAAACTAGGGCCACTGGAATCCATGTTAAACACTGTCCATGCATTTGTGATGCAGATTAAAAACACAGTGGACTGCATTTGGTGTGAACCAGCCCTTGAAGAGCTAACAAATGACTATACCTTACTGCAGTTATTTATGTCTGAGAGCGGTAAACATCTAGTCATTAATAGAAGACTAAAGTTATATCTCCATGGAATAGAGTGGTTTGTTCTTCGTTGACTCTATATGGCCTTGTAATTCATGGCTTGGGTCTTCCTTTGATCCATATCACACTTTTAGGAATTAGGAATTAGTGGCCTGGGAACATTTATCAAACTGTTCAGAAGAATAAATATTTGAATAAATGTGAATGTTTGACTCTATATACAGTAGACATGTGTGGCATGGTTCTTGCACATTAGCAATAACCTACACTAAAGTACTATGTAAACAAATGAGACTTTTATCACAGCTAGGCATTATTTTCTGTTAGTGAAATATACCTTATTTAACGTGAGAACACAATTTCTTTGCATGTTTATAAGCTTACTTCATAAGTACCTTCTTCATGTTTTTAACTGATTAATTCTAACTTCAAATGATATATACAGTATATATATATATATATATATATATTATATACACTATATTGCCAAAAGTATTGGGCCAGCCCTCCAAATCATTGGATTCAGGTGTTCCAATCACCTCCATGGCCACAGGTGTAGAAAATCAAGCATCTAGGCATGCAGACTGCTTCTACAAACATTTGTGAAAGAATGGGTTGCTCTCAGGAGCTCAGTGAATTTCAGCGTGGTACCGTGATAGGTTGCCACCTGTGCAATAAGTCCATCCATTAAATTTTCTTGCTACTAAATATTCCATGGTCAGCTGTTAGTACTATTATAAGAAAGTGGAAGCAACTATCAACAACAGCAACTCAGCCATGAAGTGGTAGGCCACATAAATGACAGGGCGGGGTCAGTGTATGCTGATGCGCACAGTGTGCAGAAGTCACCAACTGTCTGCAGAGACAATAGCTAAAGACCTCCAAACTTCATGTGGCCTTCAGATTAGCACAACAACAGTGCATAGAGAGCTTCATGGAATGGGTTTATATGGCCAAGCAGCTGCATCCAAGCCTTACATCACCAAGTGCAATGCAAAGCATCAGATCCAGTGGTGTAAAGCATGCTGCCACTGGGGTCTAGAGCAGTGCAGAAATGTTCTCTAGAGTGACGAATCATGCTTCTCTGTCTGGCAATCCGATGGATATGTCTGGGTTTCGCGGTTGCCAGGTGAATGAAACTTGCCTGACTGCATTGTGCCAAGTATAAAGTTTGGTGGAGGAGGAACTATTGTGTGGGGTTTTTTTTTTAGGGTTTTGTGCTTAGCCCCTTAGTTCCAGTGAAGGGAACGCCTAAGGCGTCAGCATACCAAGACATTTTGGACAATTTCACGCTCCCAACTTTGTTGGAACAGTTTGGGGATAGTCCCTGCCTGATCCAACATGACAGTGCACAAAGCAAGGTCCATAAAGACATGGATGAGCGAGTTTGGGGTGGAGAAACTTGACTGGCCTGATCTCAACCCAATAGAACACTTTTGGAATGAATTAGAGCGGAGACTGTGAGCCAGGTCTTCTCATCCAACATCAGTGCTTGACCTCACAAATGTACTTCCAGAAAAATAGTCAAACATTACCATAGACACACTCCTAAACCTTGTGGACAGCCTTCCCAGAAAACTTGAAGCTGTTACAGCTGCAAAGGGTGGGCCAACTCAACATTGAGCCCTATGGACTAAGACTGGGATGCCACTAAATATCATGTGCCTGTAAAGGCAGGTGTCCCAATAGTTCTGGCAATACAGTTTGTGTGTGCATATATATACATATATATATATATATATATATATATATATATATAGTATCCTACTATTTAGATGTTTACTTCGGTCTGTTTTGTTATTCAAGGTAATACAAGTTTTTTCATGCATATAGTTATAATAATAAAAAACTAATAATATACATAATACAACACTATGTTGCTTATCCTGCCATCCAAATAAATAACATATGTTTGGACTGCAGATCGCTGTCAGTGATTTGGCAGTGGCTGCACATTCTTGCGCTCCAGAAAAGTTAATGTGTGGTATGTTTGATTTAGCTTACGTATCAACATACAGGAGTCACGTCAAGAATGTGTAACCTATGTTTCCGTTAACAAAATAAAAATGATCAAAGAGCCTGATTCAGAGTAGTATTTGTTTTCATGTGACACCATGATAAACATCAAATTAAATCTTGAATGCTTATAATAATATAACTACAGTATATAAATAATGTTCATATAGTATTGCAACCGTTCTGCGACTTGAATGGCTGTCAGTTTGTACTAAGCTGCCTATGCCAAGCAAATCTGATTACTAATGCCAAGTGCACGCTACAGTGAACATTTAGAAGGAAAATTCCACAGAATGGATTTAAGAGGCAATGAAGATTGTATATAGTAAACTAATATTCATCTCCTGTTGTTCCTGAGGTGCACAGTTTGTGGTGTCTCAATACATTTCTCTCCCTGTATGAAAGTTCGGGTTTACCTAACCTCCTTTTAAGCATATGAAACATGTTTCAGGTATTTTAGTAACATTTCCTACAGATTCCTACTTGTATCTGCTCTAAAAATATTAAAAACACTTTTTTCATCAAGTTAGTTGTTTTACAGAACATTTGAATATTGAACCTAAAGTGGTAGTAAATTCTTTTTTTTTTTATACTTTTACCTACAGGTAAGCTTATAATCAAGCTTACCATTAGGTAAAATTAATAACTTCAAAACGTGCACCTTTTAGGAGATAGTCGCTTTTTTTGAGAGCTGGCGCATGTGCTCTGAAGGAACGGCATACCCGTGCCGCTGCTTCAGAATATGGTGCTGTGGCCCAGGACTCCCACGCTCATGCGCAGGAGTAACATCATTCGGCCAGTCAGCCGAACCCAATAGGAACACCAGGTGAAATTGGAAGCCTCTGCAGCGGTGACAGTACATTGCTGGAGGGCTTCGTTCTAAGGTAAGTATTTCATAGTGTGCTAGTATTCGTTGGATACTAGCACATTATGACATTACCTTGCAGGGGATTTTTTCATTTTTTTTTTAGCTGCAGTTTACTACTGCTTTAACATCTCGTCATGCTTTTAGGGATCTAAAGCTATCAAAGCCTGGTACAGGCTAAATTATAACACTATATAATAAACAAATCAATTCCAAAGACATGCTGGTAGGTTAATTGGATCCTGTCTAAATTGGCCCCAGTATGTACTGTATATGTATGAATGTAAGTTATGGACCTTAGATTGTACACTCCTTGAGGTCAGGGACTGATGTGAAAGTGCAACATATACAGTATCTCACAGAAGTGAGTACACCTCTCACATTTTTGTAAATATTTTATTATATCTATTCATGTGACAACACTGAAGAAATGACACTTTGCTACAATGTAAAGTAGTGGGTGTACAGCTTGTATAACAGTGTAAATTTGCTGCCTCCTCAAAATAACTCAACACACAGCCATTAATGTCTAAACCGCTGGCAACAAAAGTAAGTACACCCCTAAGTGAAAATGTCCAAATTGGGCCAAAGTGACAATATTTTGTGTGGCCACCATTATTTTCCAGCACTGCCTTAACCCTCTTGGGCATGGAGTTCACCAGAGCTTCACAGGTTGCTACTGGAGTCCTCTTCCAATCCACCATGATGACATCACGGAGCTGGTGGATGTTAGATGCGCTCCTCCACCTTCCGTTTGAGGATGCTCCACAGATGCTCAATAGGGTTTAGGTCTGGAGACATGCTTGGCCAGTCCATCACCTTTACTCTCAGATTTTTTAACAAGGCAGTGGTTGTCTTGGAGGTGTGTTTGGGGTCATTATCATGTTGAAATACTGCCCTGCGGCCCAGTCTCCGAAGGGTGGAGATCTTGCTCTGCTTCAGTATGTCACAGTACATGTTGGCATTTATGGTTCCCTCAATGAACTGTAGCTCCCCAGTGCCAGCAGGAATCATGCACCCCAGACCCTGACACTCCCACCACCATGCTTGACTATAGGCTAGACACATTTGTCTTTGTACTCCTCACCTGGTTGCCGCCACACATGTTTGACACCATCTGAACCAAATCAGTTTATCTTGGTCTCATTAGACCACAGGACATGGTTCCAGTAATCCATGTCCTTAGTCTGCTTGTCTTCAGTAAACTGTTTGCAGGTTTTCTTGTGCATCTTCTTTAGATGAGTCTTCCTTCTGGGCGACAGCCATGCAGACCAATTTGATGCAGTGTGTGGCGTATGGTCTGAGCACTGACAGGCTGACCCCCCCACCCCTTCAACCTCTGCAGCAATGTTGGCAGCACTTTATTTCCCAAAGACAACTTCTGGATATGACGCTGAGCATGTGCACTCAACTTCTTTGGTCGACCATGGTGAGGCCTGTTCTGAGTGGAACCTGTCCTGTTAAACTGCTGTATGGTCTTGGCCATCATGCTGCAGCTCAGTTTAGGGTCTTGGCAATCTTCTTATAGCCTAGGCCATCTATATGTAGAGCAACAATTCTTTTTTTCAGATCCTTGGAGAGTTCTTTGCCATGAGGTGTCATGTTGAACTTCCAGTGACCAGTATGAGAGAGTGAGAGCGATAACACCAAATTTAACACACCTGCTTCCCATTCACACCTGAGACCTTGTAACACTAACGAGTCACATGACACCGAGGAGGGAAATGGCTAATTGGGCCCAATTTGGACATTTTCACTTAGGGGTGTACTCACTTTTGTTGCCAGTGGTTTAGACATTAATGGCTGTGTGTTGAGTTATTTTGAGGGGACAGCAAATTTACACTGTTATACAAGCTGTACACTCACTACTTTACATTGTAGCAAAGTGTCATTTCTTCAGTGTTGTCACATGAAAAGATATAATAAAATATTTACAAAAATGTGAGGGGTGTACTCGCTTCTGTGAGATACTGTATGTAAAGCGCTGCATAAATTGACAGCGTTATACAAGTACCTGTAATAATATTAATCTTTGTATACCTTTGTGCTCAGTGCAAGGTAATGAACTGTAAATAAAAAGGAATTGCTTTTCACAGGTTGCAGTGCAGAGCATGTCAATCATGGTACCTAACAAACCAGTAGTAAAGCTTTCATTGTGATGATGGCTGAACTGAGTCTTTAGGTGTGGTTTTGCCTTAGCATATGCAGCTTTTATTGCTTAATACAATCAAACATTTGTATGTAATTTGCATCTGTCCATACAAGTATTTATTTATACAAAAGCATTCATACATTGCAGACTTGAAATACAGTATATTATGTGAATTAAACAGTAAAGTAACATCTCTTTGGTTCCACTATAGCTGTTCCAGACAAACCTGTCAAAGAAGGACCTAAAATAGTTGGAAGTGCAAAAGACACAATAAAGAAACTGTTGGCACACAAGAACAGCCTCAAGAAAAATGAAGACATAAAGAATCTAATACCCGAATTGGTTGTGACACCATCTCCAAAACCACACTTGCAGCCATTTGACTATGTGGATGGAGTGTACATAGGAGAACCTAACAAAGCAGAGGAGGAATATGAGGAAGAGGAAGAAGACCAGGATGCCAATGAAGATGAAGAAGAGGATGATGGAGATGATGATGATGATGATGACGATGAAAATACAATTGGACAAAAGAAAACACTGAGAGGTGATGTGTTTGGTGAGTTTTGTTTTACTATATTCGATGAAAGAGATGAATGAATAGGAAAACACAGTTGATTCACCCAGCCCACTCCCCATATACCATCAGCTGGACTCAAATCAACCTGTATCCAATATTTCTATTCAACTCAAATTTCTAAACAGTTTTGTAAACATCAAAAATAAAAGGACATTCAGCCTGGCTTAGATACCAGTATAGTGCCCTAGTCACACAGTTCAGTATGCTACTTCCATGGCTGGAGGCATGCGAATGTTTGGATCCAGAGCCATGCTGATACCAATCATAAGCATTTCAGCATTTGATGGGTGAGATCCTAGAAAAATTAGCCCAAATGGTTATATACTGCTAGCCACTACCACAGGAGCAAACAAGTTGCTAACCGATTCTACCATTGTAGTCATCATCAAGATGAATTATCGCTAGTTATTTTCATTCAAAATGCAGTATATTGAGAATAACCGCAGCCTGACCCATATCTAACTCCAGGTAAAGAACACAGGTATGAACGTAAAGAGAAAAAAATAATTATTTGTGGACAAGTTTCTTTTTTTATATAAATGCTACACAATTTGTAATTGCTTCTTGAAACAAATAAGCTTAACATGTTGCCTCCTTGACACTCAGTGTGTAAAGAATGCTGAGCTTTCTAGCCAAGCTCAGCACTGGTTGCATGCTTTGTTAGCAGTTGTGTATAACTGTTCCCATTTTGCTGTGATTCTGTGATAGACAGACCTATTTGTACCACAATAACTCTAAAGAAAATAGTCTATAAATCCTTGGCACTGGAGCCTCCTGGCCCTTTAAGGGGTTTGTGATGCCAGGAGGCGGGTCAGGGGTTTAAGGTCATGTGACTGCCGTGATTGGCTGTCACAGCGGTCACATGATCAGAAAGCTCCTGACTGCAAATAGCAGGAGTAGCGTGGGGCGCTGGTAAATGTGCTGGGAGTGAGCACATGGAGCAGCGGCTAGGGAGTGCGCATGCTCGGTTGCCCCCATAACAAGCTGCTTGCTGTGCAAGCACCCAACAGGAGGGAAGGACCAGGAGCACCATTGGGGGCCCCAAGAAGAGGAGGACTTGGGATGCTCTGTGCAGAACCACTGCACACAGCAGGTAAGTATAGACATGTTTGTTTGGTTTTTTATTTTAAGCCTTTAGGATCACTTTAATCCAGGTTAGTTCAGGGTAAAGGTCAGGGCCATGCTTGTGTTCAAAGGTCAGGGTTATTGTGTTTTAGGTAGGATTAAAAACGTTTTTTTAATGTATTGATGGCCTCAGTGCAAGTGACAGTGTGTTTAACCGCTTCGCACCGGCCGAACGCAAATGTGCGGCCTTCTGGCATCTGGGCCTAGACGCCGAGCAGCCGCACATTTGCGTTCTATTAAAAAAGAACATATGTGATGAGAGTGCGCACCCTGCGCGCTCCCAGCGCACATGTCCGGTACTCACCGAAAAGGGTCCAATCTCCTCTTTCGGAACGGCGTGTCACGGTGGTCACATGACCCTAAACCCCGCCCCGCCTCCCGGCTTCTGAAACCCTTAAAGGGTCGGGAGGCGCTGGCGCGAAGGGGTTAAAGTTAATTGAAACATGGATTTAGGCTTTAAGAATTGTTTTACCCTCCCTCATGAAGGGGTTAAACAGCTTAGAAACACCCGGTGTGTGTTTATATAAGAGGACTGACAGCCTGCCAAGATTCTGCTTTCTAAATAAAATAGCTGAGATGTCTATGCCTCTGTTGAGAACACTGAAGAACGTTTCCACGTTGGCTATAGCTACACAGGTGAATGAGAGCTTTTTTTAAAATGCTTTTGCTTCTCTATTTTAGAAATATACTTTATTGTGCATTGTCTGGGCACAAGTACACTTTGCATTGCAATAGGAAGGCCTGAGTCTGTTAACAAATTGCTAGCTACTTAATGTAGGTTGGATTTTTTTTATCATTATTGTATCAAATAAAGTAACTGAATGCTGAAAACGGTTTGCTATGTACACTTTTACAATCTAAGCATCTACTACATGAAATTATTTGGTATGGAATGCAAATTGCTGTGGGCTACAGACAAAAGGAATTTAGAGCATGACTTTTAACTGAGTTTAGATTTATTAGATTTAGATGAAAAAGGAAGCCTGTGCTACCCTCTGACTGCAACAGGTTGGATATTGTAGCTTTTGTAAATTCAAAGAACATCATTTTTAAAAACAAATTGAACTTTACAATATTTGAAGCTGCAATACTGAAATGATAAGGATAATACCATAGATTCTTAATCTACTTTTCAAAGGTAAAGTGCATGTATTATCTATTCCAAAGATCATGACCCAGACAGAGACTATGTATTAGGTAGATAATAGCAGCATGCTGCAGCATGCCTTATTAACACTAGAATCCTACCAGGTGTTGCTAAGCATTGATTGGTTCTGGGCTATACTGGTAATATAGAGTGTGTAGTATGTAATGCTGAAAATGATGGAACTATTCCATGTTCTCCTTCAGCTATCAATGTAATCAAGACTGTCCCTTTAAATCTCCTGGTGAATAGTAAATCCCAATTCCTGGCAAAATGTAAAATCTCTTTAACTTTTTTTGATTGTTTTGTTAGGTAGAATGGGAAGTAGGTAGGATTTCTGTGATGCTTCTATAGCTGTTTACATACCCAGTAGGGTCTAGTGTCATTAGGCAAGAATGGAAGGAAAATATCTACAGTGAAGACACAAAGAGGTATGGAAACCTGGATTCTATCCATTCTCCACATTATCCAAATCAAAAAGTCAATGTTTTAGCTAAATTTGAGCTTTAAGGGGTTTTCTACCTTATCTATAAAATAGATTTATCCTTTGTCAGCCTGAACTTTCTAATAGTTAAATATTAAAAAGGTTCAATTCGCAGTGGGATTCAAGTCTGTAATTACACAGTTGTGTTTTTCATAATTAACTTTGTATGTTCTGTGCAGGCATTTTTCATTATCAATTGTAATTAGATTTGAACACTGTCTGTCTAACAAAAGGTTAAAAGTGCGGAGGCTGGGCTTCATAAGCTGGCCAAAGATGGTTCGAATCTTGGCCTGTCCCTGCTGAAGCGGCCAAGATTCCAATTATCTATAGGTAGGCTGATTTAACCAAATTTAAATGTTGTATGAGTTGGGTACAACCAGCCCATTAAATTTTTCATGCGAGTATTGCTAGCAGCTACAGCCGCTATCAATAAGCACTGTGTTTTTCTGGCAGGAACAGCTCTTCCCACCGTGCTCCCCCCCCCAGGAGAACACAATAGCTCCATGGGAAGGATTCCCCATTAACCTTGACTGTTTTGATGGTGGAATTGAGTGACCTCCTTTTCTGCAACCCTTGGTTGCAGGAAGCAAATCGCATAATCTATGGCCGGTTTTAGGGTTAAAGGTGTAGAGTCTGGGCTTCTTGCATTGAATGTTAATGAGGACAGACCTGAGACTTGCAGTCAGCTATGATACCCACCTACTGAAAAATATCTAAAAGGTAAGACATTTAAAAAAAAAAGGTATGCTGTGTGAATGGGAACACATAAACATATAGAGGGATTTTCTCAAATTTGACTGCAAAAGTGGAAATACATCAGTGACAGGAAAAGATGAGCTGTTGGTAATACTGGTGACCAGTTCTTTCTCCTTTGCCTGCCTTTTTCTGGCTACAGATACCTGAGTTCAGTTCCTTTTTTTATTATTATTATTATGTATTATTATTATACAGAATTTATATAGCGCCAACAGTTTGTGCAGCACTTTACAAAATGAAGGTAGACATTACAGTTACAATACAATTTGTTACAAGAGGAAATAGAAGGCCCTGCTCGTTAGAGCTTACAATCTAGGAGGAAGGGTTGAGTGATACGAAAGGTAATATCTGTGGGGGGATGAGCTGATGGAGGAAATAAAAGGCAGTTTACTTGTTAGAAGCAGGATAGGCTTCTTTAAAGAGAAAGGTGTTCAGGAATCATCTAAAGTTGGATAGATTAGGAGATAGCTGGACAGATTGGGGTGGGGAATTCCATAGGATGGGAGAAGCTTGGGAAAAGTCCCGAAGCCAAGCACGGGGGGATCTGACACAGGAACTAGAGAGTAGAAGGTCTTGGGAGGATTGAAGAAAGCCGTTTGGTTGATATTTTGAGATCAGGTTGGTGAAGTAGCTGGGGGCAGAGTTGTGGATGGCTTTTACATCAGAACTTCACTCTCTCAATCATCAATAACTATTTTAATCCTTTATGCTGCTAGTATTAATATACAGATAAGAAGGTATATTTTACTTGCTTGTTTTAATTTTTTTTTTTGGTTTACATTTTTTCAGTTGCTTCCTGGTTTTTGGCCTAGACCAAAATAATGTAATGCATGCCAGGAGTCTTCTTGGCATTCTTTTCTTTCATCTGGAGGAGGAGCTTTCTCAGCTAAGCACACCCTTCTGCCTGTATACCTGAGCTAAGGTAGATGGATTCACAGAAGTAAATGCTACAACAATCATCTGCCTTGCCATGTCTAATAATACTAGGGGGTGTTTTTCAAAGTGATATATCAATAAACTAAAACATGGAGACATGGATGGATGGGTGAGTTTGCTTTGACTATTAAAAAGGAATGAAATAGCATTTTTCAGTTTGTGCTGCTCAGTTATAGTTTAGCTCTGCTTTAAAGTAGAACTACAGGCAAAACCCTTTTCATTTTGGATAGAGTAAGGGAGCATTATAGCCCTTTCTGTTTTTTCCCATCTATGCATATTGAGATTTCTACCATTTTGGGGGGAGATTTCACATCAACTCCTGTTCCATAGCACATGGCAGGAAGTGAGAGGAAATTTCTTCAAAATGAGAGAGATTTGTGGTTGTCACCAGGGTCACCAGAACCAGATTTCACCCCTATTCCTGTTCTGGTGACAATCCAAACATTTTTTCTTTCACCTTTAGTGATAACAATAAACAGGATAAAAAGAAAGGGTGAATCTCCCTAATGGGGCCACAGAGAGCAATAAAAACCA